TATTAATTAAAGTGGCACTCATTTTCAATTATTTAACAACGAATATATGTTTTAATTCTATGCTTAGATATAAATCAAAGTAATCAATGATCATATATTATCATTATGCTCTGTTTAGCATATTCTTTCAAATATATTTATAAGAATTTTGTATCGTTTTTATTTTACAATTACAATATATATTTCTCCCACATGCTGAGCAATAACTGTACATTATGGTATCCCTATTCACGCTCACATGATTAAAAAAGTTATCCTATTTTTTGCGAAGCATCTACATGGAGATAGTATATAATTATATAATATAAATATAATTTATATATGATGAACACGAAATTAACTTTATCGATATTAATTATCAATATAATTGACTAATTTTGTGTAACATATAACGAATTGAGCACCTCCTCTTTTTGGAAGTCACTTAAAACAACCACGCTTCGTGCATCGTACCCGTAGATTCCTCGTGCTTAAAGGTTGTGGAATAATCTCCCATAGGGAGAAAAGGATTGTTAGTAATATGGTCAAACAGCCCCATTACTAAGGATATCCTTATCAAGTCGACCTCCACGCGATTTCTCCTAGAAATTCGTCAGGATGAACTAATTTACCTGCTCTCATCTTTATCTATGATCCCTCACTGGTATCCCGCCAGCACACTGGCGGTATTATCATACTATTATCACCCATTAAAAAATCCTTCTGAGGAATATGTGACTCTTTAAAAAGGCATTAACACATTTTTAAAATGCAAGCAATATCCTAGCAACATCGCTTTTGTTGCAAGTATTTATGAGTGCCAGTGATCACTTTCCATCAAATGGAATATCAGCACGTTCGCCTTCTTATCAATAAAAAATGTACTCCCTTTTGAAGTAACTTAAAAAAGCGGGCATATAGCTGACAAGGTTACAATATTACATACAAGTTGATCTAGTCTCGCTATTAATAGCTAGTAAAAATTTAATGCAAAATAATTTTTATTACCTATTGTATCATATAGTCCAATTAATCATGCTAAGTTCCATTAAAATCCAGACGGGCAGACAAAAAGTAAGCGGTGACCTTGTCAAAGTTAATTATTTTTTTCAATAGTACCTAATTTCGTTACAACTTTATCGATTATAAAAACTGTTTTCACATTTTAGTCTTTAAATTCATAAAATTACATAATGCGAATCTTTAAAAAAATTATCAATTGATCTCTATTTCTTCTCTCTCTCTTTTATAAAATAAATATTATAAACATATATTAATAACATAGTCTCTATTTTATAAAACATGACTATAAATAAGATTCAGAGAATAGTACCTACCTTTTGTATCAGTTTCTGACTTTCATAATAGATAGAAAAGTAGATAATACATAGAGATATGATATGGCGATAATAACGAAATCAGGAGATATTGTCGATTGTTTGAATTATCCCAGTCAATGTAAATGTGAGTTTAGTTGTTTGTTGCTCTTTAGTTCCTTAAATACTTAACCAATCACTATGAAATCTATACACGTTTCTAATGTATTTCTATATGGGATAGTGAAGGACAGAAGGTCAGTGAACATATATCGATAACGCGATCAAAGTTATGGATTAAAGCTAGTAGATGTATACGTTAAAGATAATTTTTACAATCCCTATTTGTATATGAACTGACAGAAATACAAAAATAGGCGGGAAACGTAAATATTCAACAAAAGTATATAAATAAAAGAAGTTCGGGCCATTTATTCCGATACACCGAGACTCTGCGCAGAGACTGGAAAAGTTAGGCGGAAACGGGATTTCCTAATGCGATTTTAATTCGTTCTCCGCGACGAAGAGGGTAATTTCAATAAAAGCAAAGTCAGTAAATATTTTGTCCCCTGAAAGAGAAAAGAATAAGAGTAAAAAACGTGTGAATTCTAATTTGGTGTTTTGGAATTGGCTATGGTGAGTGCTATTCGGTGTCAGTATTTTTGCCTCGCTAATTTCCAGTAGTCTCTAATCACATCAAATTGAATTTTTATTTAGAACAAAGCCAATAATACAAATTTCAATTTACTAATTGAAATTTAAGTATTGTTTCTAAGAACTATTTAAAAAGTTTTAGTGAATCTAAAACCGCCTAAATTGTTTGTGAATAGGAAAAAACAATTTCATGATGACAAGTTTTATACTTGTCATCATTTATTAATAATATATTTATATAAAAAAGTGGAACTGGTGAATATTATTATATAGTAAATGTCTAATAAACGTAAATCTAATGAGATAATCTTAAAACAACTTTATGAATGTATTAATTATGTTGATTGTCAATATTTGCTACAGCCAAGAGGAGGAAGTATCTATTCTCCAATATTTTAGTTTTATAATATTAATAATAATAAAATAAACTAAATATTTATAATATAATAATAGCCATGTGCTAATCGGCATAGAATAAATCACTCCTTCCTTTCCTGCAGGTGTCATATAAGGCGACTAAGGAAACTTGATGGTAGAGGGATGGGAAGCAACGCCCATCTTAAAACATCACTTAAATCCTAACTGCGGTTGCCAAGCCGTTAGTTAACGATTAATATGATGATAAATATAATAATAATGGTAAATCTAGTTGATGCTTCTCCACATGGAAAGACAATAATAAAAATGGTTATATTTTGTTTGTTTGTTTGTTCGTATTAGCCCCTAACTGTCTACTGCTGAACATAACCTCACCCACAAGAGGATTTTGTCAGTAGTTGCCACGCTTGACGGGACAACTACTGACAAAATTGGGGACAACCCGCCGCATTACTAATAATATACCCTGTCAGATCGATCTTCGCGCGTTTCTCTTGAATCGCAGTTTTTGCCTTGTAAATTTGTCACGACAAGCCAAGAGACTCATTTCATCCTCACCTATCATCACTCACTGGTTCCCCGCAAACATATACCAATAGCGTAAGCGAGACTACCATTTCATCATTATCCATTAAAACAAACATCCACTTTCGTCCTTGTCCTTTTTTATGCAACTTAGAATGACAAACAAACTAACGACCCACCTAATGAAAAGTGGTAACCATCGCCTGTAGACATAACCAGTACCATGGGCATCACAAAGTATACTGTCTCGCTCATGATACTCCTCATGTGTTACCGTTCCTGAAGAGTAAGGCGTCATCTGTGTCCTTATAGATCAATAAACAATTATCTGATAAAACATAAAACTCTCACGACATTTTTAATATTTCTAAATTATGCGTATGAATAAAGAAAAAGCTCACATAAAAAGCAACTATATATATATATTGTTTTAGACGTATCTGAAATTAAATAAAAATACTTTATTTAAATATTATTAGTACTGTACAGAGCTTTGTAAATAAAAGGCTCGCTATAAGCCTGTTTATTAATTGTTAATTAATGTTTTGTTAATTAATTAATTGTTTTATTTATTTATTTTATACTTTGTTATACATAAAGTTTACAAGGTTATAATTTATTTTGAATAAAGGCGTACAACAGAGCTTGTTTCATATCATCTTTATCATCAATGACATACCTGCTCAAGCCCAGAGCGAAGGGGATTCTCTTTGTTTGTCTCAACTGAATGACAATCTCTAGGCTTTACTTATGCGCCCCTTGTCCGATATTGTGCGGTGATCTATAGTGGACTGTTACATGTGTGATCATTCTATGCTATGTCACAATACTTGTGAAAGCCCGTTCGAAGGACCCAATATATCCTTTTGTAAATGACGATCGGGATTTCACAGGTTCTTAAGCTATCTAATTAGATGTAGGCTCCACATGTTGCATGGTCCTTGTACACTTAAAGCCCGTGCATGATCGACTAACACTAAGCACCTTTGTCAGATGTCCGTAAAATCTAAAACATCCTTATGTATTTTATTATAACATTTTATGCCAATTCCCATAAAAGATCTATTAACTTTTTCTAAACGATACTTCGGAACAGTAGATTTGTTTTGTATCAGCATCAATTTTATTGATAAAGTCATTGCTTATTAATTATATGAAAACATACCTGTATATAGTTACATCATTGAGACTTTAAAATCATTTTAACATTTTCACCATTTACCATTTATATACCTATTTGCTGACATTGCAGTTCTTCTACTGACACAACTTAATGAGACGGTCTGATATCTTTACATAGTCACCTAAATGCCTTTTTTTCTTTTTTTTTATATTATTTTAACATATATACCTTTGCTTTTTTTGTTTTGGCATTTAGGTGACTATGTAAAGATAACATCTTTACATAGTCACCTAAATGCCTTTTTTTCTTTTTTTTTATATTATTTTAACATATATACCTTTGCTTTTTTTGTTTTATTGAGCTTGTAATGCATAACACCTTTTTCAATAACTGTGACATAAAGCGGAAATAAGTGGTTCCTAAAATGTATTAATGACCTGTAGGTCATACCTAGTTTAGAAATCAGGGCTTAAAATTTATGTAACGTAGTGTAACGTTTATATTATCTATGTAAATAAATAAAAGTATTGCAATCTATAACAATGTGAATTCAAATTAGGGAAAATTCGTAGGAAAATCTTCTTCATTCAACAATAAAACAAAGTAATTTTACCTTATTTTTAAGTGCCAACGCACTTAGGAAAACTTTGAATAGATGTGGCATTAAAAGTTTGTTTCTTTTATCAAATAACAACTTTAAATAAGTACCTAACCGCAATCGGTCAGAGTTTGAGTGGACTAATACTATAAGAAAAAATAATTTATTTATATGGTTGTACTTTATTTATACCATGGCAGTTTTTTTATATTGTCTACTTTACACAAAACTGCAGTATGAAATCGCAATTTTTTGATTAGCAAATAAAATAGCAAATAATCTTCAAAAAGGAATATAGAAGTTTCTTCAGGGTCAGCAATGCGCGCATAATGCCCTTGAAATTACAGACATTTATAGGATACCGTAACCGCTTACCATAAGGTGAGCCGTATGCGTGTTTTCCACCTTACTGGTATAATTTACGTACCTTGACATATCAGCATGAGTGCCATCAAAAGAGCACGATGACTCGGGTGTGGTAGTGTCATACTGGTCCGACCCTTCACTGCTCAGGAAACGACCGAATTCGGCGGCGCACAATACGTGCGCAAGACAATTTCACCATATTCGATAGTCTGAAACAAACATATCACATATAAGGTTCTGTGGATATATAAAAATATTAATGCGTTGCTCACACTTAACCGTCTGTATTTTAAGTGGAGCTCGCAATTTGCCCTTACTTTTTACGACATAAATTTTACTTTAACCGGGGCGGGTTGTTGAGCTCCAGTTATAGTAATCCTCGGATAATCTTGTTTTAAACAATTACCTTGTTAAAGTGATTTAACGAATAGCCACAGTATCTCATTTTATAAGAATATAAAGAAAATTATGATTTCTGATGTATTTATTAAAGACAGATTTTTCCAAAAAAGCAGCGCATGGGATGCATAATACTTTATAGTTTCTCTATATATGTGATATAATGTAAAAAACTTTTATAAATGGTCTGTGACAAAATAATAATTTTATGTGAAAAGACCATAATAATCGTTAAAAGTAATTAAAATATTAATTAAACCCAGTTATAAATCCACGTCATTTTAATAAGGGTTTTTGCTACAATAAAACCTGTACCAAAAATCATAATTCCAAGAGAAATTATTGTACATAATATACATTATGTACATATTTTGCATCACAAATTACTACAGATAGAAAACCTAACTTCTTGTGTAGAGTTTATAAGACAAACTTTATAACATAGTCTGTACATCCATAATATTGAAAATATCTCGAGACGTTTTGAAAAACATACTTTTTAATATTAATTCAAAACTAGCTAGAATTGTAGCTAGAACACTTAGAAAAATCATCTCTCAGCACAAAAATTTCTTGTTTCTAGCAAATGTACAACATTTTCCAGTTTTATATTTAATCAATCAAACAAATAATTAGTTGTATTATAATAAATACACATATTTTCATTACGGATACTAAAGATCACTACACGATTCTTTTACTTAAAAGAAAGGTTGATTACAAATCCAGGGACTATTAATAATAGCTTATTTTAGTAAATGAAACTAATTTTTAACTATATATATATATATATATATGAAATTGAAAAATTTCGAAAATAGTCTACCTGTCTGTGTCCATTTGACAACATTCATACAATCTAATCCAAGGTGGTTTTTAAACCACAACCACTCACAAAACAGATGCTTTGAGGCTTAACTGGCGCCTTCAGTAAATGTATTCCATTTCATTTGGTGAAGTCTTAAAGACGCCAGAGATTAAAAAAGCCCTAATTTTTTATAAGACCATTTTTTATCACCTGTATAAATAATAATCAATAAATATATAAGTAAATAATATCTTTTCTGATATTGATCCATTTTTAGGATCGAAACTAACGTTTAAAAATGAGATAAAATGTCATATTATCTGTGATATAAGTTATGACTATATATAAATCGCAAATTTCATTATTATTATACGAGTCTGTCTCTACTCACATTTCTGTACGTAAGACGTTTGTGTATCCATTTCTACTCGTATTTATTAAGAAAAATTATATTTATATTATCATATATATGTCTATCTACGTATTATCTATATGTGATAATTATAATTCAATTTTATTGTAAAAGTGTCACATCTGTAATCAAAATATAATTGCTTATAATGTAAACACTATTTTAGTTTGTCGAATTATTTCATTTAAGGAATATATTATACTTAGAATTGGACAAATAGCTGCAATTGTGTTTTATCCAGAAGATCATTGAAATTATAATCTAGTTAGATACTACTAATATATATATGGTAAGTTTTACATATGCATAGATATTCAAAACAAGTAGAGGAATTTTAAATGACAACCAGCAAATTGTAGCCTTTTTAATAACCTTCTAATTTTATTATAAAAATCATTTTGGTAGTGTATCTACCACTCAGATAAAAATAAATATATACACAAAGTAAGAAATTAACTGCACATATAATTGAAGAAAATAATAAGAATAATCATACTAGCCGGCCGCCGCGGCAACAGGCGGGTCTATAAATAATGAATATGAAATCAAAACTCACTTTTTTATACAGAGACTTTTCACTTTTCGTACGATTTTTCAAACATTATTTCATACAAACCTTGTACAAACAATTACAAATAAAACAAAAAAAAAATTAGCCAAGTATATGCAACCGTTCGGAAGAGATGCGATTACATATATTAACCAATTTATTATTATTTATATAGATCATACTTGATTAATTATCACTATTTATGTATTGTCCTATACAATTCAACTTCGCCTGGCTTGTTTTTATTGACTTCATAATATATATCACTAACTATAATATCATTGTACCGAAAGTACTAGATTAATAATACATATTCCTACAAATATCATTCTAAATAATACCTATAATATCGGTAAAATATTCTTTACATACAATGCACTGAAATTAAAAGTTTGTAATAGCATAATAATGTATGGTATTTGATGTATTTATTTATCCAAGTATATTTGTATAAGCATAGAATTTATCATTGATTCCTACATTGACTGAGCTTGTCCTGTAGGAAACGTTATTCGTATTAACATACACATACATACAGAAATTAACATAGATTTGTGCACGCTGTAAGACATGTGTGGGTAAGTATTATGTGGTGCGAGGGTGTATACGTATGTTTGTATAATAATATTCCAAACTTCATATTTCATAAAAATATTAACTGTCGTCTAAATCATAAACAAGACCATATCTATTTTAAATATATATATATATAAACTTGTAAATCGTATATTAATTAAAAATATTTATTGATGAAAAGAAATTGGAAAAATTGTCTTTTTTCTGTACATTCTGTTCCTAGATACCATTTATAATATATTGAGGTATTATTAACAAAACAACGTTACTAGTATAGTATTATATTATATTATCTGTGACGACGTTTATAGGATCAACAATATATAATAGATGATAAGTCTGACCTCTCCTCAAGCAGGAGATTCCTCATGCATTCCCATTCTTATTGTTTGAGCCATGTCATGTCCGTCATGCATACCATATTGTGTTTCTATATGACAGGAATGTGACTAATACAAATAAAGTGTGAACTGCCCTGCTGTTCAGACTTGAGTGACATTTAATTTCCCTAAGGAGAGAAATGTAGACAATCGTGTACCAAAAATCATAGCTAAAGATACTTACAGTAACAAAATAAATAACTTAATTGAAGTAGCAATATAAAGCATACAATATACCAAATATACCCGCACGTCTTTGACCTAAATAATAATAAATCCTTCCACTTTCTGGAATATAAAGAAAACTTTCAATATGAACGAAATATTTGGTATGAAAATTGTATAATCTAGTTAAAACATTACATTCAATATATCTTTGACTTTTATTTAATGGGGTAAAAACCATTTCGACTTACACAGCTGTTACTATACGGGTAAAGTTTAAAAAATGTTTGGGAGTTCTTAATTGGGCTTTTTGAAACATTAATCAAGTGTTACGTCGGGGGGGAATTTTTATGTCGGCCGAGACGGGTGATAGGACGGCTGACGGATGACGGGCAGCCGCGGGGTCGCGCGACACACTGCATCCATCAGAATACGATTATTTGGATATCCCAGATTGAAGTTTGGGACACATTATTTCAAAATAACATTTATCAATCTGTTAAGCTTAAGTTTTGTATTCCAACATGCATATAAAGTTTTTGTAACATCATATATGTAGGTAATCTATGACCGTTTTCTTCTCTCTTTGCCATTTTTTATTGAAATTAGAAAAAACAAAGGTTTTTTTTATCTTATATTGATTATATTACAGTAATTATAAAAATTAATGAAAATCGACTAACCTACTTGCATGTTCATGTAATTGCAAGTAGGTTAGTCGATTTCCATTAATTTTTATATGAGGATGAATATTCCCGAGGATATGAATATTCAAATACCTCGGAAGAACAATATATACCTATTGGTAAAAATACATACATAAAGTATATTTTGTCGGAAATTAATAAATGAACAGACAAGAGAACTCTGGTATTTCCAGAGAGTTTTCAAAGAGAGAGAATTTTAAAAAAGAGGAAATTCTAAATTCATTCGTATTTTTTTGCACATGTGGTCATATCTTCGCCAGTCGTCCACCGATTTTGATAATTTATAAGAGAATACTCTTAAGTATGAATTGTTACAAATAAATAAGTAAACACTTACTTAAATTGGGGTGGTCCATTTTAAAAAAATAGGGCGGGCGAGCAGCCGAGGCGGCGCAAGCGGCGACTAGTGAGAAACGCGGCGCGCGATGTAAAAATAAAATAATAATAACAGGAGCGATGCGCGCGCAGTTAACGTGTCTTGCGGTTTGCTAAGGTAAACATTGCATCCGTGATGACTATGACTTCCGACGATATCATACCATATTATATAAATATAGACCGCCTGCTTAATGTAAAATTTACATTCATGACAAATATTAATCTTTATTTAATTTTAATTAAAAGTAACAAATGTAATAAGAACTTACATTTGCAATAGTACAATGACAACCTCAAAAACACATGCACAAAATTGGGTCCTGTTCAAAGTTCCAAAAAGCTGGCGGTTTAATAATTTATTCGATCTTAGATTAAATTATACTCAATATTGGGCGATCAACACTTAAAATCTCAGTATTATTTCAGAGCACTGCTGAATTAGGCTTCCATTAGAAACGAATGTAAACTATTCATCCATTAACTCAATACACATAAATATTCAATAATATTAATCTGAGATCATACGGCAGTAAACCTAATCAATTGCAAAAAAATACATCAAAATCGATTCAAAAGTAGCAACGTAATTACGTATTACTACGCATACACAAAATATATATACTAATTGAGAATCTCCTCCTCTTGAAAGACACTCATAAACGATAACTAACATTACCTTAGTTTTAATATAATGCTATATTTGAAATCTATGAAGCCTATACGTATATCTAATATTATATTATAAATAAATAAATATGTGCTTAATTTGTTTTCTTGTTTTTCTACCTTTATTTAAAAGTTATACAACAGTAATTCCCTGTTTTATATATAAAA